TGTGTCGGGGGAAGAAATCTCGCAGAAAAAAAAAAAAACAAAAAAACATAAACAAAAACCCCATCCAAAAAAAATAAGATAAAAATCAGAAAGAAAAAAAAAAGGTTTTTTAACCTGCCAGTGGCCGGCAAGAGCGATTCGGAGAGGTGGGCAGACACACCTCAGGTGTGAGCGAGGACTCGGGTGGTTTCTGCGAGGGGGGAGATGGGGTTTTTTGGTGAGTTTTGGGGTTTTTTGGTGAGTTTTGGGGTTTGTTTTTTTTTCCTTTGCTTTAGCCTGCGGATGGCGGGCTGGGGCTGCTGAGAGGGGGGAGCTGGCAGGGAGCCCCCCCCCTCTCCCCACATGCACATGTGTGCTGCCCAGGATCAGGCAGGGCGTTTCCCCGAGGAAAGCGGGATGACGGTTACACCGAAGCCGGGCTCCTGCCCGCGCTGGAGTCTCTCAACGGACCAGATCTTGCCGAAAACGCCTGCCCGTAGCTGGGGCACTGGGAATTCGGTGGTGAGGCGGCGGCGCGCGCAGCAGGTCGGAGGGGTTGATTGTTCCCTTATATATATATATATGTATATACACATCTCCGCGCGTGTGTGTGTATATATATGNGATTTGGTTGGGGTTTTTTTTGGTTTGGATTCTGTAGAAAATGGGGAAAATTGCTTTTTTTTTTTGTGTTTGGGTTTTTTTAACCGGAAGGGGGGAAAAAATATCCCAAATTCTTGGAGCTTCCAGATTTCTGTTGCCCCAGAAGGGATGGGTTGAGAGCGCGACTATCGCTGTACAAAATAGAAATCGTGTATATCTTGTATAGCGCCCCAAAATCGATGTAAATACCCAAAATGTCCGGGCTGAGAGCTGAGAGCTGTCAGCGGCTCTGTTAAAAGTTAAAAACTGCTTCAATTTTTTTTCCCCCTCAAAAGAAAAATATGGAAGAAAATCAGAATTATCCTGCCTTGTTTCCAGCCGTTTCGGGGTCACGGGCACGAGAATGCCCTCCTGGTCCCTCGCTGCCGGCAGAGGATGAACCAGGGGAGGCGACCAGTCTCTGGGGCTGCCGTGCCGGGGAGAGCGGCGGTTTCTCTTGTTGGTGATAAACCAAAACAAACCCCCCTCGCCGGCTTCTCTTGTAAAAAAGAAAAAAGTTTAAAAAAAAAAAAAAAAAAAGAAAAAAAAAGAAAAAATAGAAAAAAAAAAGAAGCGTGAGCGAGTGATGACGGTACTTGAGCTGATGCACAAGGAATCTCTCAGCAGATATTTGCCGCCGTGCTTGCTGGGAGAGGGTTCCCAATGGGAAATCTGAACCGGCTCGGCGTCGTGGCGGCTCGCTGGCGTCTCCATGGATGCTCGGAGAGATGTTCCACATAGGGTGAGGCTCGGCCGCGGGCGCTGTTGCCCTCCTCTTCCTCGCGGAGCCGGTCGAGCCGGCGGTGCCTGTGCCAAGCAGAGCTGGCGTTTGGTGCGTCGGCGTGAGATCCCGAATCCAGGTGCCAGAACGGATCTTGGATCAAGCCAAGATGGGAGAGAGATGGCTGGCAAAGAGCATGGCACTGGCAGTGGTGGCTTCTCGCCACGGCAGTGGCGACCGTCAGGCTGGCGGTTGTAGGCGAGACCTCGGAGTCCCCGCACCGGCGTCTCTCTGGCACTGCGCTTGGCGTCTGCTCCCGCCAGAGGCGGTTTGTGGCTGCTGGTGGCATCAAGGCCTCAAAACCACGGCGTTACTGGCGGGCAGGAGGGGCCCTGGGGATTTCTGGCCTCGGAGTGGCACCAATGCTGATGCAGCGGCCGAGAGCGGGTCCGGCACGGGTGGCTCTCCCATCCCCGGCACGTGTTTTCACCCCAGGCAGAGACGGAAATGTGCCGGCCAGTTGGTAAAGCATCGGCATGGGAGAGAGCCGGATCCTCCTCCGAGAGCCACCGGGGCCAGGACTGGCTTCGGCCAATATCTGCTGAGAGACCAAAACGTTCACCCCGAAGTACCTTGACGAAAGAAGAAAGTTTTATTCCTCTTATTTTTTTAATGAAAGAAAAACAAAAAATAAAGCAAACCATGCACTTTAGGCGGCCCAGCGCGGGGCTGCCGGCGCGCGGGGGGGGGTCCCGTCCCCCCCCCTCCCTTCCTCTGCGGCCGGCGGGGCGGCTTCGGGAGACGCCGGGGAGCGGCCGGCGGTTGCCGAAGGCAGGTCCTGGATTTTACCACTAGCAAAGATGACGCCCGACGTGACGAACTCCTCATGCTAGCGAGCACTCCTTACCGTAGCAGATTTTTGCAAATGGAGTTTTACAAGTCTATATTTAAAGAATTGTATGTTTGTAACAAATAAAAAGTATGCGGAAAAGTGAATGAAAAACCCATCCCGGCCCCGTCTCACTCCTTGGGGGGGGATTGGGGGAGATCCCCAACTGTCCCTGGGCAGGAGGGTCTCACCAGTGC